CAGGATCAGTCTTTTTCCTTCTCAAGTTAGTGTCAGCAGGATCCATCCCATCACCCTGAAAATGGTGCTCTTTTCCTCCCTCATCACAAAAGACTGCATCAAGGAAGACTTGGTGTTTGTTGCTGATCCTTTAGTGGGTGAATGAGATTTTCTTGACAAGGCCTGAGGTCTGGAGTTTGTGGTACACTCCAGGTGTACTGGGGTGCTGGCTGCAGTTTAGGGGCTTTCTTAAGTAGTTCAGACAATGTGCTTATGAACCTCTCACAAGGAAGAGTTGCAAGAGGGATTCCTTCTCCTTGTCTTTTTTTGAAAAAAGAGCACATTATACTGTTTTATATATTTCCCTGAGGCAGAAGAGGCCCTTCAAGTGTCTGTCATTTATAAGAACCACTACCTTGCAAGAAAAACAGGATTTTTAAAACCTTGAATTTTATCCCTAGCAAGTCTAGGTGGGCCAGAGAGCCATAGTAATGCCATGTAGAAAATGTTTTTATTGTGCCAGTGGGTTTAAGAACGGTAACAAAATGAAGAATTGTAACATGAACTTCAAGTAAAAACTAGCTAAAGAGAAAGCTGTTTCAGTGCACAAAAATATAGGTCAGTCATGGGTTTCATCTCATGGTCACCAACAGAAAGAAGGAACTGAAAAGTAGTGTAGGAAGCAAGGAACTGAAAGGGTGCCCTGCCCTGTAGCTGAGGACATAAAGGGCACTGGGAGGTAGACAAGGTGCAGGCACAGCCTGAGGGGATGCTCCTGTTTAAAAGAATCTCCTCTTGAATGCTGGGGCACCTCTGCGGAAGGTCATTCTGACAGTAGTGTGCTTGTAAGAGTACTTAGTAGGGGCGTGCGAAGCGGGCCCTATTTGCTTTGGATTCAGCCCAAGTCAGGGACAGTGATTCTATTAGTTTATTTGGATTGCTGTCCCCGATTCAATCTGGCCGAATCCGAATCTTCAGATTTGATGCTGATTCAATTTGGACATACATGCAGCTTTAAAAGTTTTTTCTGCATACCTTGAGGTACCAGAAAAAACTTTTAAAGCTGTGTGTATGTCCGATGGTGGGGTGCATGGAGTGTCCCACAGGACTGCGGGGGGCCCTTCCACATGCTCAGCGGCGAACCTGGAAGTAGTTCCAGTCCACTTCCGGGTCTGCCAGGGAGCCTGCTGCGTCCTCTGATTCGATTCAGAGATTCAGCCACCGAACTGGGCTGAATGTCCAACGAATCAAATTGGGAACTGAAGCTTCGCACAACCCTAGTACTTAGTTACTTCATTGTTTTCATATCTGATTGTAATCAAGTCCTTCAGGAAAGGAGCAGGTGATGTATCATATACATATAATTAGCTCTTGGGACTTCTGCATTCAAATCATATTACACATATTAACATAACTAAATCTCAGCCTTTCAGGGCACAGAGCAAAGAGATTTTGCATAAGGTAAACTCTCAAGGAAATGCTTTTAATTTTTTAATTAACATGATTATGACTACAAGCTTAAAGAGATGAAGCCTGTGCCTAAATCAAGCAAATGCATGATTTCTGTAACATATTTCTGTAACAGATTTTAAAGCTTTCATACTGGTGTATGTCAGCACTAGCTCTGACACCACTCCAAATGGTTCCTGCTGTTTTCTCTCTAATCTCTTCACTGCTTATTCTTCAATGATAAACTGCTAAACTGTCCTTTATTTAGGACTGTGCTTTGTGTGCAGACAGCACCCAGCATAGTGGGGCTTTGATCTTGTTCCTGTCCTCTAGATTTCTTAAGATCTGAGTAAGTAACTGTACGCACACAGGTGCATGACGCAATTCCCGCGTCTCATCCAGAACTGTAGTGTCAGACACGCTATACGTACACTGAGGTTTTTAACAACATACTACAAATCTATCATTATAAAATATGGGCAAATATTATGTCCATATTTTCAACTGTTGAAGACCTTGGTGCATGATATCAATGCAATTCACTTTTAATGTTTCATATAGCAAAGATTTAAAATGCCTTTTTATCCATATTTCATTTTCTTGGTTTTTCTTAACTTCATTACTTACCTGTTAAGCTACACTTGGACCGCTGACTTGTTTTGAAACACTAGAACAGTGTTTCAACCAGGGTGCTGCGGCACCCGGAGGTGCCTTGAGATCCTCTCAAGAGTACCATGGGGGTGCCATGCAGTGTTAGCATTGTTAGGCATGCAAACATGATTTAGGTAAACACAGAGATTTCAAATAGGAATCCACAATGTTAAAAACATTCTGAACTATTTGGGGCTTTCTGGGTTCTTCCCTGTAGAAAATGTGTTATTTTTCTACATAAAAAACAAGTTAAACCAAGAGCTGGCATTTTCCAAGGGGTGCCTTGAGTCTGAAAAGGTTGAGAGCCATTGTACTAGAAATTCATCCAGTCACTTCATCTTCTTTCATGTTTTAAGGTGAACATCATGTAATAAAGTATACTTTTATTATTATTTTTTTTTTTTTACAAAGTCTGAAAGGGTTGGCATTTTTTGGCAGAAGTTTCAATAGTTTGACTGGCACCTGTCCACATTCTCACCCTGTTAGCTCTTCAGAGGTCTTATTATTGTGATGGGTTGCAACTTGTAGTTGAAGTACATACCAGTCTACCCACAGCATAGGGGTCTTAAAATGTCCTATGCTGTGTTTCAAATATGCCCTTGAACAATATAGGTGTGAAGCTGAGAATACAATGAAGCAATGAAAAATCCCAGAACCTACCGTTTTATTACATCTGTAACGTTTAATATTCCTTCAGTGGTCATAGATTCTCTCCCATGGAGGGATATCTTATTCAGAAGTGCAGGAGGAGGATGCCTCTGACATGACATTGTTACAGGTGAATACCACAACCAGCTGTGTCGGCAGTGGCTACAGTCAGTCTTCAGGATTATTGCTCTTCATTGTAGCATAGTAGATTTAATTATTCTTCATCCGTGACACACATTCATCTGTTCTCGTCTTCGTTACCAAGTGTAGCAGTTTCATGGCTGCCTGGCAGCTCATTCTGTTTCTTACTGCTGTTCTTAACTTTTTAACCTAAATTGCTGTACCACAGCTTAAACAAACTTCCTACTCATTCTGTTACCATTGGCTGCCTAAAATGGGTCAGTTCTGTGCAAAATGAGACTTCATCCTTGTTTGTAGACTGACCACGTTCAGTTTTTTCCTCATAGTTCTTAAGTTCTTAGTTTATAAAACTTAATAATAATTTAGTTTCATTAATACCAATTAAAAAGCATAACTACTCCATTTTTTGGGCGCATGACTCAAATAATTTTTTGTGCACAAATTTAAATTTTACTTGTTAGTCTCAGGTATGGAAATGAATCTTTTGAACATGGGCTACATTTGATCAGTTCAGACAGCACATTATGCCATATTTTCTCACATACAGCGTGCCCCAGAATGTAATACACACTTTGCTCTTGAAAGGCAGAATGAAGAAGAGATCTTTCCTTGTAATGAATAACTGAGTAGCAGCAGCTAGGAAGCAGTCTGCTCATTGTTCTGCTCCCAGTTGTGAGCTGCATGCAGATTTGACTTGACTTCTGCCTATAAGTACCAGGAACTGTTCTTACCGTATTTCTCACATATAATGCACTCCGCAATTTCCAGCAGCTGTTTTTGGGGGACAGGTGTATGTTGTATATGAGAAAATATGGTATGTTTGAGTGGATTTGCGGTTTTAACTTTAACCACGGTTTGCCTTCTCTAATTCTTATATGCTACTATGAAAATAACATAGGATGAACCAGTTCATCCTAAGAAGTTTTTGATTGTAGCCTCAGTTTGTCTCATCTTACTGCTGAAATTGTATTCTCTTATTCTTTTATTCTGCTGTTGTTTCTTACATATTAGTCACTTGATATCTCTCAATTTCTTTTTAGCCTGCCTTCAGTTTAAACTGAAAGACCTTATTCTGTTTTTCAGTTAGTTGCAGTTCCTCTAGGTTCACTGCATATATATGCAGATTTTATTAGCATACTGCTACCTGTTTTTGGAGAAATTGATAAATATATTGCATTGTGTTAGGCTCAGACCTCCAGAGGCTCCATGAAACACTTTCTCACTCATTGACCCTATACCATTAATCTTTGCTCATATATTTTTTATTACTATGTATCCATTTTGAAGTTCTAGCTAATTCACATTTTTCTAATACCGTATTGCATTGTGTGGAACTGTTTCTGATTAGTTACTTGGAGGCATACATACTGTATTTGCCATATTTTATAAGCTTTTTAATCATAATAGGCAAGGTTATATAGAATCAAATTAACAGTGTCGTTCAACACAAATCATTCCAAAGACATCAGACTGATCTTTTTTTGTTAGATGGGGCCACAAAGAAGTATAGTACGCTCAAGAGAAGAGCTGATTCCTATAAAATATTTATACTGCAATACCACAAGTAGAAGACTACCAGTCCTGCTTCTAAGAAGAATGTTTTGAATTTTTGCCAATCCGATACCAAAAATCATGAAAAATCTAGTTCAGAAATCTTTATTGTGAATAACTTCTACACTTAAAGACAAACATGAATAATGTTTTTAGAATAACACATATGAAGCCTTTTCTCAGCTGTTTTCTTCAAAGAATTTAGCTCATAGTAAACAGACACCGTTAGATTAGACTGACACACACTACTTATGGCTAACAAATCTCAAAAATCCTTTTAAATAACCAAGTTGATTT